TCCTCCTAGGCCATTGAAGCCCTTCAAAACAGGTACCTTTCAAATTAATTTGATATGATTTCGGGTTAGGGTTAATTTGATTTTTATGGGAGAAAATTTGGGTAGTTGATTTAACTGTATATCTTCATCACCTAAGAGGAGTAAATTTTATACAGATAACCCAACAATTTTTTTTTGTTATTTATTGAGTGGGATTCCCTTTTTCTGTTGATGCTTGATGGTGAAACTACTAAGAAAATTTTATACAGCTTCGAATGTAACAATTTTATACAGCTAATCCAATCTTGTATATATTTGTGCAACCCTCTCCATCACCATTCTTGACCAAGCCTTCACCCAAGGAATTTGAAACCAATTCTTACATGGTCCATTTTTTGTTGATATCTGATTGTAGAAATTTTATCAATCTTACGTTTGTAGATTGAAGAAGCATTGAGCAGGTATGAAAAGCATTTGGTAGTGATGCACTATGTTAATCTTTTATTTGATTTTATTATTATACTCTAGACAGAATAAACAAGTGGATGCGCTCATTATTCCTTGTTTATTTTGAGATTCATAATCTTATCTTGGGTTAGCTGTATAAAATTTACAGTTTATGGCTGATAATTTTAATTTACAGTTTTTTTCCTTGAGAGAGTGACGTATGGTCTAAAACTTTCTTCTACTGCAGAATCATGTCGTCAACATCTTCTCAACAATCATCCTCTTCTCAACAGGCAAGGTTCCTTGATAGGAGGCTATATGTTGCAATGTGGAATCGTCCACCTCCATACAAGATTCCAAATTGCTTTTGTGGGATTCTAGTGCAAATGAAGACTTCTTACACCCCGAGGCATCCGTGTCGTCGATTTGGAATTTGTGCTACGAACACTTGTAATTGTTGGACTTGGTTAGATCATGGTGAAGTACCAAGTTACGCTCACGACGCAATGAATATATTTATTCGCAAGTTTGAAGAGCTTTCAATTGAAAATGAGAAATTGAGATCAAGAATACATGGGGAAGAAAATGGAGTTTGGAAGAAACATATTCAGGAAAATGACTTTCTAATTGGAATTTTTGTTGGTTTCATGATGTCCATTTTTCTTGTAATAATATCCAAGTAAGGGTATGTTTTTTGCTTTGGACCTTGTACTATTTTGCTAACTCAACTATGTAATGAAAATCAGTGTTCAATGAAAATCAGTGTACTATTTTGCTAACTCAACTATCAGGATTTAACTCCTAAAGGATTACGAAGATGGGGCTCATTACTTGCATCAAGCTCAAGCTCAAGGTCATCCTAAAGGAAGAACATGTAATCTTGATTTACTCATTTTGATTCCTGTAACTGTACAACTTGGCTCGGCTCAGTAATGAAGAACATGTAATCTTGATTTACTCATTTTGATTCCTGTAACTGTACAACTTGGCTCGGCTCAGTAATCTGTACTTGAAATGTAACTTCTGAAACTTATGCATTATGTGCCATTGAGACAACATATCTTCTAGCTGAGCTAACTTGAAATGTAACTTCTGAAACTTATGCATTATGTGCCATTGAGACAACATATCTTCTAGCTGAGCTAGCTTGTTGCACAAGTACAATGTTTAAGTAACTCGTATAGTTATCCAAGTTTGAGTAAAAAAAGTTGGATTCAATTGTGCCAGGTTTCAGAACATGAGTCAGAGAGATATCAAGCTCAAACTGGCTTTTTTTATCATACTAGTATTCTCAAACATTCTAGCATTCTTGTTCTGTAATTAGCGATGAAAGGTGCCTTGTGTTTTTTTCACCATTATATGTGTGAGACCCCGAATAGCATGAAGGAGACTGTTTGAGACAGCAGGAGAACCACTTGAAAGCTGTTTTCTAAAGAGTAAAGAGACCCTGGAAACTAAATGCATAGTTCATGGATTTCCAACAGCACACAGAAGACAGAAGACTGAAATCACACAAGTAATCACATACCACAAAGTCAAGTCCACAAGTAATCACATACCACAAAGTTTTCCACAAGTAATCACATCCCACAAAGTTTTCACATAATAATCACATACCACAAAGTTTTCCACAAGTAATCACATACCACAAAGTTTTCACATAATAATCACATACCACAAAGTTTTCCAACAGCACACAGAAGACAGAAATAGCTCAAAGATAACATAGTTTTCCAACAGCAGTAACAGAAGCAGCAGGAGCAGCAGGACAATAACATCCGTATGCAGTAACAGGCAATGGAAAATCACACTCTGGATCTGGATATGCAACCGTAGGTCCACCTGAAAGAAGACTAGCAAGTGGTAAACAAAGTATGCATTGAACTCCTGCATTTACTCTAAGAAATGTTACTACTGACTGAATTAATCTATGCCCATTCTATATTTTTAATAGCCAAGTTAGTTTCATGCACACTAGTCAAATATGTATACTACATGAATCAATTTATAATTAGTGATGGAACCAGATTGAAGATTGAGGGTGTTCATATATGTATTTGTATATAATCATCAACTTCAAATTTGCCTTTCATATCTCTGTCTGAAGTAGTCTTAAGTAGTCTTAACTTAGAAATTCTGTCTGAAGTGTTCATATATGTATTCATATATGGAAATTATGTCCTATAGAAGACTCCAAGAGGCAAATCATAGACATCCACTGATTCCTATTCAATGAATCCCCAACATACACCATAACACGAGAATAATTACATGTTACAAGAGCATAATTGATGAATATATACCCCAATAAGCAAATCATACCCATAGTTTTGATGCATCACATCATGTTTCTTTGATGCAATCCATACCAAGGTGTCAACCCATCACATGTGGATCTCCATGCATTGGAAATTGAGGCTGTAACACATCATATAGATATAAAGGTGTAGCTATAGTGATTAAAAAAGATTTGCATCAATGTAAGCTATGAGCTATATCTTACCAACTGCATTCCCCATGGATGCACAGTATTTGCTTGTGTCATGTAAACATTTGAAACCGCTATATCTTACCAACTGCATTCCCCATGGATGCACAGTATTTGCTTGTGTCATGTAAACATTTGAAACCATGTTATCTTGTGTGTAGGAATGAACACCCATTTGAAACCATGTTATCTTGTGTGTAGGAATGAACACCCTCTTGAGACTGTGATGGATTGTTGACGGGCACATTAGCAGCTAGATCAATTTTCTTCTTTCTTCGCCTACTTGTTGGCTTAATTCTGTTTTGCCTAGGCCGACCTTTCCGAGTCTGAGAGAGAGGATCCAATATGTTTTCATTTTCATCCTTTTCATATTCCTTTTCTTCTTCCACAAAATCATGATTCATCTCTACTTCTTTTCCTTTCTGACTTGATTCAGCAAGTTGTAGTTCTCTAAATTTGGTGTCTATCCATTTTTTAACAACCTCACATTCATGATTGTTTTGAGCAACAAGATCAGCAACCTCAATAAATGCAAGACATAGCTCGCGATAGCGTAATTGTTCAGGTGTGACAACCCAAGTATTAAATTTAACTTTCATCTTCGAGTGGGCTCGCCTCACATCCTTTCGCCACCTTCGTAGAATGTACTTTTCCGGAAGAAAGCTGACTTCGTGACGAATAAGAATGGTAAGGGCATGTCTACATACTATGCCTTTAAACACAAACAACTGACAACTACATTCAACTTCACTGTTCGTTTCACGAAAGGATACTTTGAAGAATTTAGGAATCCTTTTGCCGCCCTCCAACCGCAAAGTTAAGTCCCAAATGACATACTCAAGCACCCCTGCTCCCTCTTGAAAGTTTACAATATCACAATATATCTTTCCCGTGAATTCAGCTTGAAACTCTTTAAACTTTGCTAAAGTGTAGACTCCCTGAATTTGACTCTCCATATCATAAGTTGTTGCGGTAGCTTTTACTTTTGAAAATGACTCAGCATCGGCCCGCATCTCCTTTTCAGTCTTGTTTCTTAATGCATTTTCATACTGCTCTACAAATTGTTTCAGACTTGTTTTCGAATTGACATATCCATCAAAAAAAGCATTCATGCTTTCACTTCGCTGAGTAGTTGACATTCCTGCCCAAAAATAATTTTTGACAAAACATGGAACCCATCGGTTTCTCTCCTCGTACAATTCACCTAACCAATCACAATCCTCCAATCCATACATGTCAACCATTTCATTCCACTGTATTTCAAACTCTTGTGGACTTTGTGTATCATACACCACTCCTTTCATGGTTGAACTTATGGCCTCATATTCAGTGTACCTTCCTAACTTTTCTGACAGCTTCTTCATTATATGCCACAAACACCATCTGTGTCTAGTGTTTGGAAAAACAATCTCAATTGCATTTTTCATGGCTCTTGCTTGGTCAGTTATTATCCCTTGCGGAGCACATCCATCCATGCATTCAACCCACTTCGTAAATAGCCATATGAAAGTCTCTGTGTCTTCTTTTGAAATCAACCCACATCCAAGAAAAATTGATTGCCCATGATGGTTAACGCCAACAAATGGTGCAAATGACATATCATACTTATTTGTTAAGTATGTGGTATCAAAAGTGACGACCTCACCAAACTCTTTGTAAGCTTCTCTGCTCCTACCATCTGCCCAAAATACATTTTTCAAATGATCTTCATCATCCAATTCAATATCAAAATAGAAACCATCATTTTCTGCAACCATCCTTGAAAAATATTTCATAATCGCTAAAGCATCACCTTCGCCGAGACGTAAACGCCTTGATTCATCAACCAAGTTCCTACAAGCCTTTTCATCACACAACAGATTCTCATATCCTCCAGCCTCATGTACCAGTGAGCTAAAATTTTTGTTGATTCTGATTCCGGCTTGATCATTCAAATTAATTTGATGTCTAACATGTGCACTAATTCTTCGGTTGCATCGAAAGAAATGACTTTTAGTAGGGCTAAGGCCGTGATTATGCTCCAGAACAACCACAGATATTTCCCATCTTCCGTCCAGATTTAACCTAGCTGTTATCTTTGCATTACACCCAACTCTGTAGCTTGCTTGTGGTTTTAAGGGATTTTGACAAGTACTATTATGTTTGCCAGCTCGACCACATACTAAGGTCACACTCTGGAAATCCACTGCTCTTTGCATAGTCTCTGTAGAACTCAAACAATTCATCTGGATCATTAAACTCCATCCCAATTTTAGGCTCATTTTGCTCAATCTGCTGATCAGTATTCTGAGGCAACTCATCTCTCTCATCAACTGAGCAATTAATCCCGCCATCATCATCTAAATCATCTGCCATGCCTGTTCAAATTGATCATCAATAAATGATCAATAAACTTTACAAAAAAATAGTTAACAGAAACTGAACAAAGAAATTGAGCTGAACAAAGAAATTGAGCAAAGAACTGACTGAAACTAAAAAGTTGCATCTTGAAAACACAGATTTTATTCCTTAACAGAGGAGACTAAATTTTATTTAGAGCCTGCCTCAAATGAATATTAGGGAAATTAGCTAGAAGCTAGAAGGTAGATTTTATAATGCAAAGGAAATTAGCTACAATATGCCTCTCGAATCTGCAGGCTAACAAAGTTTGAGTGATGCTCAAACAATTCTATAAAAGAAGTAAGACAGGGAAGATGTCACATAGCTTCGAAAGAGCAGAAGACTTTATTTTTTTCGCTGTTTTTTCACCATCAAGCATCAACAGAAAAAGGGAATCCCACTCAATAAATAACAAAAAAAAATTGTTGGGTTATCTGTATAAAATTTACTCCTCTTAGGTGATGAAGATATACAGTTAAATCAACTACCCAAATTTTCTCTCATAAAAATCAAATTAACCCTAACCCGAAATCATATCAAATTAATTTGAAAGGTACCTGTTTTGAAGGGCTTCAATGGCCTAGGAGGAAGGGATCTGCTTGATGGCGGGGCTTCAATGGCCTAAGAGGAACGTTGATGCTTGATGGCGGCCTCGATCTCGTCACTTTGGGGGCGATTCAGCGGACGGCGGCGACCAGCCGAGGCGGATTCGACGGGGGG